AGTTCTCCGGACAAGGATAGTTCTGTCGAAGGAATGGATCCGACGAGAAGATGATGGGGGCAATGAATCTCCAAAGGAGCTTATCCGCCTTAATTTTGAGACGTAATTTATGCAACCGACAAAATTTAGTGGCAAAAAAGCTGGCACGTGGTGCCCGGTGTTCCCCTTCTTTTATGTTCAATGTCGATCCTATGCCCCCAGTTTGGTTTTTCGATCCGGGAGTGCATAGTTAAGAGTTTTTTTGTTATGTTGTTGTTTAAAAAAAACACAATTCCAACCCACAACACGCTGAAACATGACATAGAGTTGCAAATACACAACTGAAGATGATTGTTGATGTACGCTAGGCCTGATGCACGGGACAATTACTTACAATCAAGAGCCTTGGTTTGGTTAAAACTCAATCGTTTTGGTACGGTGGTTTAACTTCCAAGCTGAAATGCTGAATGATTTTACTCGGTTTATGCTAGGTTTTGGGTACATTTTGGCTTACTTTACCCATAACAGGTTAACTAGAACTTGATCCACCAATCCTTGCAGATGTTTGATTTAATTTATATCAAGCTAAATTCATAAACTGCTAATTTTATAAAAAAATCTTACGTATATTTTTTTATATTTTTTAATTTATATATATAGGAGAATATATTATTTTATAATATAGATGTTTGATAATACTTTTCGTATTTGTACATAATATTATATTAAAAGTTTATAACTTGATGCAATTTGATGTAATTGTCTATTCATACATTAACCTTTTGTTTTTTTTTGTTAATTTATTTTAAAATGAAACAACATACTAAAAATTAGACCTGGGTAAAAATCCCGAACCCGAGAAACCAAACCGAACCCAGCCCGTTTAAAGTGATATGGATCGGGATCTTGTTGAAAAACCGAATGGGCCTTAATTTTTGGTATAACGGGTGTCGTGTCGGATCGGTTTAAACCCGAGATACCAAATGGTTACATCAGATAACCGAGCTTTTCAAACCCTTAGCCTCTTTCCTCTTTTCGATTCACCTCAGAACTCAACGAATCTCATCCTCGGCGAAATATCTGAAACCTTTCCAAAGCTTGAAATCCCTAAATATTCTCATAAAACTCGTTTCCTTAGTTTGATTATCCCATATCCTAACCGATTCTCGCATCTCACCCCGATTATCTTTCTCAATTTGAACACAAAACCTTAATTCAAAGACCCCATAAATGTATCTTACCTCATCGTCTCTCTTCCATCACAGAGCTCTAGTAATCGATCAAAGGTACTCTAAATTAAAGTAGTCGATTCTTTTTAAAAACTTTGAGAAGTTTGTTATTTTTTGCTTTTGGGTTAAGATTTCTAATAATATTTTGATTTATGTGGCTTAAATTTCAGGTTTTGAATACTTTTTCAGTATGCGTGAACTAGTAATCTTAGGTTGTTGGTTGATTACTTCCTGTCATGCTTCATTTTAGATAGCCAATTGTGTTTGAATGTAGGAGAAAGACATTAGTTTTCTTAAAGTTATTCATCTATAAATCCAACGGTCTTTTAATTTCTTGATACGTTTTAGTACACACCCAAATGTGTTTGAATGTTTTAGATGCTTCGTGTAAGTGCAAGTCTGTGTTTTCTTTAATCTTTGTTGTAAATAGAAAATATGTGTTTGGTGCATTTTGAGATCAAGGATTCTAACGAGTAGTCGCTTCTCTTACAGATAGTTTCATTATCCTCAAAACTTCCATAAGCTGATGAAGAAACTATGGACGTTGAAATGCAATACAATGAAGATGCAAATGCAACATTAGGAGTCTCTTCTCAGTCTAAGGAGGTGAAGAAAACCGTTGTGCCTAGGTCCGGTGTCTGGAAGCATTACACCAGAACCAAAGACAGCCGTGACAAGTGCATTTGTCACTATTGTCAGAAGATCTTCTCATGTGCTACCAAGTCAAGAACTCAAACTTTCAAAAGCAACTAACCATATGCAAATCGTACCATACATGGGTTACTAGTCAGGGAAAGAATCAAACCGTGATTAATACTGAAGGAAATCTGAACTCTTCAAAAGTCTCAGAGACAGTTTTCAGAGAAGCTTCTAATGAGTTGATTGTGCTAGCAGAATTGCCTATTTCGTTCATTGAAAGCATGCCTTGGAAACACTTCTACAGAAAGGTAATTAATTTCCTAAACCATGATCCTTTTAATCTTCTGTGTATATGTAACTTTATTGACATGTTTCCTCTCTTTACTTGCAAGGTTAACCTTTACAAGCCTCACTCGAGAAGGACTACAACCAGAGACATTGTTGAAATGTATGTGACGAAGAAGGAAGCTTTGAAAAACATGCTCCGCCCAACCAAACAAAGAGTGTCACTTACAACTGACATATGAGTTTCTCACGTTACAGGTATCATAGACGTTTTGCAAGTTAGTTTATATTGGTTTTGTAGGTTATTTTTTTATATTGGTTTCCCAAGTTAGTGATGCACTGATGCTTACACGTTTTTTTTTTGTTTCATGGTTAACATGTGCTAGTTATATGGTGATAACTGCCCATTTCATTGACGATTCATGGCAGTTGAGGAAGCTAATCATTGGCTTCAAGTACGTGATGGACCATAAATGTCAGACTATACTGTCCTCTTAGGTGTCTCGCTGACTGAGGTATTCAGAAGGTATTTTTCATTACAATAGATAATGTTACTGCTAACACTTCTGCAATTGGGAGATTTGATAGGGAATTTCGTAATGTTGCTCCTGATGCTTTAGTTTTAGATGGTAGTTTTTACACATGCGGTGCTCTACTCATATCATCAATTTGATTGCTAAAAGGGGTTTGGCTGAGGTTAGGGATAATGTGTTAGCGATTAGGAATGTTGTTTAGTACATACGTTCTTCTATAAGTAGGCTGAATGCATTTGATCTTAGAGTCACCATTGAGAGAATGATTAGGTGGAACTCAAACTTCCTCATGCTGTCTAGGGCTCTTCAGTTTAGAGTAGCATTTGACATGATGGAAGCAGAAGATAGGCTGTATAATGATTATTTCATGAAGACTGATAATGGAGTTAAAAGGTGTGGACCACCTGCTTCTACAGATTGGAGTGCCATTGATAAGCTGAAATGATTTCTGGTTATGTTTTACAACATCACTCTGGTGATCTCTGCCTCATCAAAGGTCAACTCCTACAAATTATATGGTGAGATAGTGACAATAAAAAGGAATTTGACTGCATTGGCTAACAATTTTTGATGCTGAGTTGAAGGTGAAAGCATCATATATGTTACAGAAGTTTTTGAAGTATTGGGATCGCATGAAGAATGTCAACAAAATGTTGATATTAGTGACTGTGTTTGATCCCAGGAAGAAGATGCATTTTGCAAAGCTTTGCTTTGAGAAATTGTATGAGAAGGAGAGCTTAGAGTCTAAAGAAATGCTTCGGTCTGTCTGTGATCTTCTTAAGTGCATGTTCAACGAGTACAACACTCGTTTCAGAGGGTCTATTGGACAATCCTCTCTGTCGAATCAAGCACCATCTTCTCACGCAAGTCAAGAGTCTCAAGAACAAGGTACGGATTTAATGAAGCTGGTGGTTGTACATTTTGGTTATGAGAGGATGGATTGTGTGTACAAGGAGATGGTTACTGAAAAGGGAGAGGATACAAGAGATGAGCTAGAGGTGTACTTGAGGGATCCAGTTGAAAATCCGAAGCTCATGTTGGGTGTTGAGTTCGACTTTCATTCATGGTGGAAAGTTCACAAGATGAAGTATCATGTTCTTGCAGAAATGGCTAGAGATCTACTCGCCTTGCAGGGCTCCTCTATTGCTTCAGAAAGTGATTTTAGCACAAGTGGTAGGATCTTGGAGTCTTATCGGAGTTGCTTAACCCACTATATGATTGAAGTGCTTATGTGTATTGAGCAGTGGATGCATGCTGATATCAAGCTAACTGAACAAGTCCCTACAAACGAATAGATGCTTGATGATGTGGAATTGCTTGATCGGCTTGAGAAAGATTTATGTTGCTCTTCAGTTATTTTTATCTTTATCATCTTATGTAATGAATGTTTAACTTGTTGTCATTTGCTTTGTGTTTCAGAATTTCAAGCTTAATGTCTTGATGATTGAATGTTGGAGCTTAAAGGTTGAAGGGTGAGCTGAAGGCTGGCGTTTGTAGTTTTATTGTTTAATAATTTGATTTTGATTTCAATGAATAGAGTGTCTCATTTGTTGAGAGTTTGGTTTTATTTTTCAGGTTCTATGTTTCTTTTGTCTAAGAGAATCAAAGTGTTCTTTGTTTGTTTTTTTTTTATATCAATAAGATTGTTTTACTTTCGTTTGAATCATGTTGATGTTCTGCAATTTAGTTTAGCTTTAATGTTCTGTTTTGTTTAAATTTTGGTGCATACTAATACAAATTGAGGACCGAAGAATCAAAATTCTGATTAAAATCTGAGTCCGATATAACATAGGGTTAAACCAAGTACCATGCTAGTTTACTAAATCCGAACCTAACCCGATATAACCTAAACGAATCCGAACAGAATCTTTATAAAATCCGAATGAGACTGTTTCTATGGTATACGAAAAACTGAAACCCGAGTGGACCTAACCGAAACCCGAATGAGGGTCCTGATTGCCTAGACCTACTAAAATTTTTAAATTGTTTGCATTACCTATTATTAATATTGTGCGAATATTAATTAATTAGCCATACTCAAGAAATAAAAAAAAATATATTTAATTTAATATAAATACAATGACAAAATATGTAAATAAAAAATACAAAAAATACAGTATTATTATCCATGTTTCATTACATTACCAAAGGGTACTTGAGTGTAATAATATAAATATATCGCATACTAATGCAAACCGGGAAATTTCCGCCCGATATAGACCGGTCCGCGAACCAGCTGAGAAATATTCTCTTTTAACCTCAAAGCTCGTCGTCTAGAAACCCTAGCGAATCCCTCTCAGCTTCAAGCTCGACACTAGTCTAGAGAGAGAAAAAGATGCCTCCGAAAGCCAAAGCAAAGGATGCAGGTCCCGTGGAGAGGCCAATCCTTGGCCGTTTCTCTTCTCACCTCAAGATCGGAATCGTAATTCATCTCTCTCTCTCTCTCTCTCTCTCTCTCTCTCTCTCTTTTAGATTCGCTCATCGATGAAATGAACATTTGATATGTATCTGACCTTGTGTGTCATATCGCAGGTTGGGTTACCAAACGTGGGAAAGTCTACACTTTTCAACACCCTTACGAAGCTTTCAATCCCAGCTGAGAACTTTCCCTTTTGTACCATTGAGCCCAACGAGGCACGTGTCAATATCCCTGATGAGAGGTTTGATTGGCTTTGCCAGCTGTACAAGCCCAAGAGTGAGGTAAAGTTTCTTACTTTACACTTTCATGTATGTTTATGTTTGCTCATAGCTGACTTATGTGGTTTGTCTCAGATTCCAGCTTTCTTGGAAATTCATGACATTGCTGGTCTTGTTAGAGGCGCTCATGAAGGACAGGGACTTGGAAACAACTTCTTGTCCCATATTCGTGCTGTTGATGGAATCTTCCATGTCTTACGTATGCCTTTTTCCATTCATTCATTTCTTTTTTTTTTAGCCTAGTATAAGCTTGATTTGATGCACTGTGCTGAGTTCCTAAAAGACTTAAGGCTTTTCAACAAGAGATTTCTGGTTAGAAACTATTCTATTCTCTCGAATGCGCCTTATGTAGTTCTTTGTATCTGTCCCCGAACAGCTGAGATGTTTTGTTAGTAGTTTTTTGATACTTCTTTTCTGGTTAGTAACTTTTCGACTAAACTTGTGCAGGTGCCTTTGAAGATCCTGATATTATTCATGTTGATGATATTGTGGATCCTGTTCGAGATTTGGAGACCATTTCTGAAGAATTGCGACTAAAGGTGAAAACAAATCTATTACAGATCTCTGAAATCCTCGCATCTTAATGAAGTTGTCTGTTAGTTTGATATTTCCATCCATTGTTGTTTGGTTAACATTACTCATCTACTTTGGTGCAACTTTAGGATATTGAATTCATTAAAAAGAAGATTGAAGATGTCGAGAAGAGCATGAAGAGGAGCAATGACAAGGCGCTTAAAGTAGAACTTGAGCTCTTGCTAAAGGTATGCTTCTGAAATGCTTTCCACGCTGTCCTGTTCTGTGAATGGCAATGTTATTGGTCATTACTTATTAATTGGGTACAGGTAAAAGCTTGGTTGGAAGAAGGAAAAGATGTCCGTTTTGGGGACTGGAAAGCAGCTGATATCGAGATTTTGAACACTTTCCAATTGCTTTCCGCTAAGCCCGTTGTGTACTTGGTGAGTAATTTTGAATGTTCATCTCTTTTTGCAATCATTGTTTCTATCAAGATAGATTATTTTACTTCTTTGATATCTATGGTCAACAATTCTGTTTCAATAAATTTTTTAGGCTTGACTTAAAAAATTGTAGAGGCATAATGTCTATTTTCTGTGACACTGTTTTCTCGCAAATTTGACCTATAATGTATTCTTTTGTTTTTCTAATCTCTATGTTTTACAAGTTTGTTTAAACTAAATGTTTCATCTGAGCGTAAGAATTATACAGTCATGTTTGGACTTTTTTTATGATCAGTGGTGTCTCTTAAATTTAACTTTACAGATTAACATGAACGAGAGAGATTACCAGAGGAAGAAAAACAAGTTCTTACCGAAGATTCATGCTTGGTACTTACATATATGATATATCCCTTCACAAACTTTGTTGAATAATAAGTTAACAGTTTACCCCTCAGCACCGACGCATTTGCTTCCGTTATACTTCTCCTAAACTAAAAATGTTTCATTGTTATGCAGGGTTCAAGAACACGGTGGTGATACTATGATTCCTTTCAGTGGTGTTTTTGAAAGGAGTCTCGCTGATATGCTCCCAGACGAAGCAACAAAGTATTGTGAGGAGAACAAACTGCAAAGGTTAGGATTAAAACAACCACGTAGCCTCTCTTCAGATGGGTTAGATGATTTTCTTTTTAATGATTCTAATGGCCGTTGCTTCTTTGACAGTGCACTTCCGAGGATTATCAAAACTGGATTTTCAGCTATTAACCTCATATATTTCTTTACAGCAGGGCCTGATGAGGTATTTCAATCCCGCTTTACTAGTAATTTATTTGGCTTCACAACACACGTTAGTCCCTATTTCTCTGTAGTGAATTATTTAATAGTGTATGTCAGTGTTAAGTGGTCCATTTACTGGTTCAAAAAATACAACCATCGATGATATTTTGTTTGTGCAGGTGAAGTGCTGGCAAATAAGACGTCAGTCAAAGGCTCCTCAAGCTGCAGGGGCCATTCATACTGATTTTGAGAGAGGATTCATTTGTGCCGAGGTTCTTTCTTCTTTCTTCTCTTTTCTCTTGATTCTTCTTTCAGTTGATTACTTTCTTTTTCTAACCTAAAATATTCAATCGCCAAGCAATTTTTCCCTCCGGGCTTCGATGATCTGTTTCTATTAAGAAGTTTCCATAATCTTTTTTTTTCATAGACATAATTGATGCTTGCATATTCTCATATTCATCTTGCTGTTGGTTCCCTATTAGTTATTTGGATCTGCACAGGCAGTCCTGTAGATCTCAAAAGTAGAATCCTAATGCAAACTAATTATAGATTCATCAGTTTCACAAACAAATCAATTGTTTACCTGAATTGGATGCGTTGTCTATTTTTGAAATTCGTTGTGGTTTACTCCAATGTTGTTGATAATATCACAGGTCATGAAATTCGAGGATCTCAAGGAGCTTGGCAATGAAACTGCAGTCAAGGTACTTGTCTAAAACTCCATTTCCTCTTCCCACCTTTTAAGTTTTCTAGAGTAAGTAGCCTCTAAAAAACAGACATGAACATGTTAAGGAAGCTAAGCTCTCCATGCAATATAAATTCTCGTTAAAGATGTGGAATTGTTAAAAGTTAATAGCATGCTGATGAAATTTTCTGCGATTCACAGATTTGACAGGTGTGTCTAAATTTTTATCCTATAAATTATTGCAGGGGGCAGGAAAATACAGACAGGAGGGGAAAACATATGTTGTTCAGGACGGTGATATCATTTTCTTCAAGTTCAACGTTTCAGGTGGTGGCAAGAAATGAGATTCCATCTCGTCGTCTACCTATTTCTGGTTTCCTCTCCTGATCTTGAAGCTTTATACAATTCCGAAAGAGAAACCAAGCTGTGTTTTCTGTTTTTGTTAGTTGCAGTTTTTATTTGGCTTTACCAAACACAAGTATCTGTAACTCTTGTTCCTTTCTGCAGTTAGCTAAGACATGTCTTTGCCTTGAGACAAAGCATTTAAGCCTGCTGTATTTGTAGAACTACCCTTTCAATAATCAGAAACAAATTACATTAAACCAAGTAGGTTATACATTCTAAATTCTTTCAAAAATACCATTATGAACAAAAACATGCACACACAAAGTACTATATTGCCGCACTTTTTTTTTTTTTTTGAATGATGTTAAATTTTATTCATCAAAAAAAACCTTTTTACATCAAGTGTAGACATTAATCAACAAGCTACTACATCTTAAACTCAAACTTCAAAACTTGATAAGAAATCGACCAAGACATTACAATCTAGTTCCAAACCAGTATTGGAGACTACCAACCATTCCGTTCCTTCGTTGCATACTCATCAGACTAAGCTTATTTTTGACCACTTTATCAACAAGATTCTTCATTATTTGCATAGATTTAGGCCTCTCTCCATGCCTTATACGATTCCTCTCTCTCCATAAAGAGTAGACAGCCACTTGAACAAAGTATCTGGTACAAAACGTACTAATCCTCCCCATGGATCTTCCTGATATCAACGCCACAACATTCGACCAGGAGTTAGAGTAGGAGCCACAAAGAATCCCAAGAGAAAGATGTTTCCATAGCTGAGAGGAGTAGGAACATTCAAAGAATAAGTGATCTCTAGATTCAACTGCATTTCTGCACAGAACACACATCGTATCAACACTTGAATTCCAGCGAGAAACTTTGTCCATTGTAGACAATTTATTCAACACCGTTAACCAAGTGATAAACCCAAATTTTGGTGTTGCCTGAGAAAACCAGATACCACTAGCCCAAAGAGCATTGAGCAGAGGTTTACCGAAGTAACAACCAAGTTTCATGGATTTAGCTTCAAATCCTCTTCTCCATCTCCACTGGTTAATATCCATAACATTGTGCCTCAGCTTCTCTTTAATAGAGATCATCTCAGCTTCAATATCATTTAACACCTCTCTTCTATGCTTACATCTTCTCCTAACACTCATGACAGCTTCCTCAATGGTGGCTTCTTTCCTTATACCCATAGCAATAACCCCACGATCTCCCAGCAACTCAAATAAGATACCTTTATCAGACCACTGATCAAACCAATAGGAGATAGTTCTGCCATTACCAATTTTCATCTTGAAAAAATACCTAGCCACCTCCCTCAGCTTCAGTATCTTTTTCCACATCCAAGATCCAATTTGAGTAGAAGATTTTACTTCCCAAAAGCGTTTTTTTCTTCAACAAATAAAATTTTATCCACTTACTCCAAAGCGATTCTCCCATTAACAACCTCCAGATGAGTTTTAAACCATAAACCTTATTCACTTCTTTCAAATTTTTAATTCCCAGTCCACCTTCATCCTTTGCTTTACAAACATTTATTCTGTTTAATCTGAAAACAGTACTGTACTGGGGTAGACAGATTTCGATTATGGGGTTAGGAGAGATCTTCATACTGAGGTTGAACTAGATAAATGGAGAGTAAAAGAGGGTTAATAGATTATGGCTGGACCTGGTGAAGGGCTGCCTACATACCCCAAATGAGATCAAACCAATTGTAGTTCTACAACAATGGGACACAAGTACCTAGAGAAAGGTATGTGCTGGAGTGTTTCTCTCTCTAGAGAGTGAGAAGGTGTGAGAGAGACCAAAGAGAGTCCCCCAATAAAGAGGGGCTGCCTCTTTATTCATAGGAGGAAGAGGTCTAGGGCTTCCTAGTAACCTCCTTAGTAATGGGTTGACCCCATTATATCATAAGTCTTGTTGAAGGGCAAAGCTACCACCAACAGTAAGCCCCCCAGTTCGTTGAGAGAGATGGAATTGATATCTGCGAACTTTACGAAGAGGTTTATAAGATAATAGACTCAGCGCTTTTATACTTTGTTGACTCAGGCGAGTTGTACTTTTACTAGGCGAGTTGACATGTGAACTCGTGCCTAGGACGCGAGTTGTACTCTTCCTAGGGATGTTTACTATGGAATCATCCTAGAAGCAGTAACTCAGCCAGTAACTCGTGCCCGAAAGGAGAGTAGTTCTACTCTTACTAGGCGAGTTAAGTGTAAACTTGTGCCTGGAGGAAAGCAAGTTTACTAACTCATGCCTAGAAAAAGGCGAGTAGTACCTTTACTAAGCGAGTTGACAGGTGAACTCGTGCCTAGGACGCGAGTTGTACTCTTGCTAGGGATGTTTACTATGAAATCATCCTAGAAGCTGTAACTCGGCCAGTAACTCATGCTCGAAAGGAGAGTAGTTGTACTCTTACTAGGCGAGTTAAGTGTAAACTTATGCCTGGGGGAAGGCAAGTTTACTAACTCGTGCCTAGAAAAAGACGAGTAGTACCTTTACTAGGCGAGTTTACTAGGCGAGTTGACAGGTGAACTCGTGCCTAGAACGCGAGTTGTACTCTTGCTAGGGATGTTTACTATGAAATTATCCTAGAAGCAATAACTCGGCCAGTAACTTGTGCCCGAAAGGAGAGTAGTTGTACTCTTACTAGGCGAGTTAAGTGTAAACTTGTGCCTGGGGGAAGGCAAGTTTACTAACTCGTGCCTAGAAAAAGGCGAGTTGTACCTTTACTAGGCGAGTTGACAGGTGATATCGGCCAGTAACTCGTGTCCGAAAGGAGAGTAAACTCCCGCAAGGAGAGTAAAATCATGTGTGGTGAGTAAAAGTGACCCTGAGATGCATTACTCATTCACATGGAGAGTAAACTCACGCAAGGAAAGTAAACTGAGGAACAAGAAGCATAAGAAAGAAAACGACAGTTCCAAGTATTGATCCTCCCTCTAACTCGTTCCACCAGCGGGAGATAATCATGTTTACACATACCTTTAGTAATCAATGGGAGTCCCAAGTAGCGAACAGGAAGCCTACCCTCCTCAAAAGGAAAATTCCTTAAAATCCTGCTTCTCTCTTCCACAGCTACCCCAGCCATATACACAGTCGATTTCTCTATGCTTATTTTTAAACCAGACCAATTAGCAAAGTCCTCAAAGACTGACAACGCTCCTTCAATAGACACTTTAGTTCCTTCCTTAAATACCATAAGGTCATCAGCAAAACTAATGTGGGTGAGGGAAAGAGCTTGACATTGAGGATGGAACTGAAATTTATTCTCCTTCACTACTTTGTTTAACTTGTGAGATAAAATATTCATACACAAGATAAAGAGATAAAGAAGAAAGGGAACATCCTTGCCTTACAACTCTTGCACTTTAGAAGTACCCAGCTAACTCTCCATTCACTTGCACCGAGAAAGAATGAGTGGATATACAAAGCTTAATCCACTGAATGAACTTTGCAGGAACACCAATTGTCTCCAAACTCTGTAGTACAAACTTCCACTGAACCGAATCAAACGCTTTCGAGATATCAATATTCATCACACATATTGGAGCAACATCTTCTTTATGATAATCTTTGACTAACTCCGACGCAAGTAAGTTCTCCAACAACAATCTTCCTTTGATGAATGGCGACTGATTCTCAGTAATAGCTCCCGAAAGAAGCAACTTAAGTCTATTCACTAGGATCTTCGAACCACCTTGTAGAGTATGTTACAGCATGCTATAGGTCTATAGTCTCTCATCTCCATAGAATCTACTTTCTTAGGAACCAGAGCCAAAATAGTAGAATTAACACCCTTAGGCAGAAATCCATACTTGAAAACAGACTGAATTGCAACCGTGAAATCATGAGCAATCACAGGCCAATCAATCTTGAAAAATTCACACGGATACCCATCCGGACCAAGAGATTTGTTTGATGGCATGTCAAGTAGAACCTTACGAATATCCTCTTCAATAACCTCCGCTTCAAGCATACTACATTCTTCAACTGAGCATCTAAAACCCAACAACTATTGCAACTCCTCACTGGTGGTACAACATAGCCCTCAGGAATCTGGTTAAGAAAATCAGAGAAAAATCTCTCAACTTCTTCCTTAATATCCGACTGACTTGTTACAATTCTACAATCTTGACATTTTATCTCACGAATGGTATTCTGCGCTTGCCGAGATCTAATTGCATTGTGAAAAGTCTTATTGTTCTGATCTCCCTTCTCTAACCAATGAAGCTTAGCCTTCTGCTTAGAAAATCCTCTTCCAAACTTGCATTATGTAACCATCTGTCATAGGCTTCTGCTTCCTCTCTGATTGCAGTATTACTTGGCCGAGTTAAAGTTACCTGCTATTTATCACACAAAGTATCATGAGCTTCTTTCGCTTTTCTCGTAAGATTTCCCAATTTTTCTTTGTCAAGCTCTCTAATCAACGGCTTCAGGTTCTTTAGCTTCTTCGAGAATCTATACATTGCAGAAGTTGAATGAAATAGCCTCTGAGTTGTATCCCAATACTCTTTGACCATAGGGAGAAAATCTGGTAAACTTCCAATCACGTTTACAAACTTGAAAGGCCTTCTCAATGTCTCACTTGGCGGCAGTAATTGGAACTTACATCTCAGATGATCAGAGCAACCTCCAGCTTCAAAAACAGAGTAAGCACTCGAGAATCTTAATAAAGCAACATCATTCATTAGAACTCTGTCCAATTTTTTACATATCATACCTTCTTCTCTCTTATTACACCAGGTAAATAAAGGACCTTGAAACCCCAAATCAGATAGTTTGCAGTGAAGTACCATCCGCTGAAACTCCCTCATCCCACTAGACACTCTTGTTGGGGTCAAAATCGGTACGACAGAATCAATGACCAAAACTCCCCGTAGAAATATAAAAGAAATCGTTTTATAAAACTCGAGGCTAGTTTTATAAAACTCGAGAATCGTTTTACAGAACTCGAAGAATCGTCTTATAAAACTCGAAGGATCGTTTTATAAAACTTGAGAATCGTTTTATAAAACTAAAAGAATCGTTTTATAAAACTCGAGGATCGTTTTATAAAACTCGAGAATCGTTTTATAAAACTCGAGGATCGTTTTATAAAACTCGAGAATCGTTTTATAAAACTCGAAGAATCGTTTTATAAAACGAAGAATCGTTTTACAAAAACACGAAAAACCGAAACCGCCGTAAAACGCGAACTAGCATCGTCCCGGCTAGTTTGCCCAACGGC